CAATATATCAAAATAAGTTAAAATAATTAAAAAGTAAAAAAAATTGATTCGCACAATACGAAATGAAATTTTGGAAATTGTGCGCTGCAGCGGAACCGAAGGATGACGTCCTACACAGCACAATGGTTTAATTGACCCAATTTTGTTCTTGTGGGCCCCAATTGACTGGACTGAATGGAATGAGTGATATCGGATCTAATTTTCTTTCTTTAATACTTATACATATAAAAAAAAATGTTTATAAATTTTAATTTTTCTTTTTATCAAATATAATTATAAATTATCACATATTAATAAAATATTAGTTATTTATTAAAGTAAAAATTTAATATCTTTAACATTATTTATATATTATAATGATCTTAATTATCAAATCAAGGATAGTTTCACTATTCTTGTTTTCTCTAATTTGATGTAGCTAATAGAGATTTAGTATTTTCTAAATAAAATAAAAATAAAAAAATTTTGTTCTACTTTTAAATTTTTTTTTTAGAAATTAAACTTCTATTTTCTGTATTTTTTGTTTTTACTGAATTTTTAATATTTTAAGTAATTTTTTTGACTTTTAGAACCACTTAAACTAAATTGCACTTAAAAGAAAAAAAAATTGTAAAAAAATCTTTTAAAATTTACTAAAATACCAATAAATTATAAAAAAATACGAAGATTCATGTCATTTTTTATATTTCTTATGTATTGATTAAATTTTAAAATATTTTTCACAAATTTTTTTTACTTTTAGATACACCTAAGGTAAGGGTGTATCTAAAAAAGTAAAAAAATGTTTAAAATTTAAAAATATTAACTAAAAACAAAAAAATACGAAAAGATTCAAAAAAGTCAATTTTTAAAAAATTTCAATCCAGAAAATCAACACAACGCAGCTGATAGTATGTTTCAATGCTGACATACAATACTTGATTAAGCTAGATACACAATTGATATATCACTAATATATATATGAATTGATATGATATAATTTTAGAAATTTAAATTTTGTAATTGTATAATGATGGGGTCATAGTTTTAAAATAATAATTTCATAACTATAGTTGGGGTACAGTAATAACTAATCAGTACACGTTAATATTACCAATATATTTAAGCTTAAAAACAGAAAAATCATTAATTTTTATATAATCCATCGTGACTAATACATTTTACCTAATTGTATGGAAAACCTTGTTTAAGGCTATAATCTTGGAGACACTAGCATGGGTGTCTTAACAATAGTCCCAATATATGACAAAACATTCGGACACTTCTACGCACAATAAGATAAAATATCATATCTAAACTCCCCTGTATCATTTTTTTTTATTTTAACAAAAATTAAAAAAAATCTAAAACACTTATCAAATAAGACCTTTTAACTACGTACTAAAATAATTAAAAATGAAATTTATACATACATCAAGCCTTGGGCCAAGTTTTGACATACGTCACTAATTCATGCTTTTATTTCTTATCTTTCTTTTTTTCATCACATACCCTCTCTACTTTTCTGCACATCTTTCGTAAAAAAACAAAAAAGTAACCACTTACTTAGTCATCCCAAACCCCTTAACTTCTCAATGTAAATAGCCCTATGACTATATGGTCCAATCGAAATGAGTCCCTCTATGTGTTTGGCCCCACAGTGAGAGTTTATTTGGTGACTGGTCAATTTTGCGCACACATATTTTTTCATATGATATATACTATGATGTACTATCAATTAAAAATAACTTAAAAATTGTTGTTATCAATTTGAAAATAATTTTAAACAAATTGTGCTTAAATGTAATACAATTTTGTGTTATATTTGAAATTTAAAACATCCAGGACTGAAAGTGCATGGTGCTAATCAACTTCTGATATATTAAAAAATGAGATCAAGGTGTTTAACGTTGGTTTGAGTTTTTATTTTTTATCAAATAATCATTGGGCCAAGCAAACAGTGTTGCTGTATATATTATAGAGTCGCGTGTTATATGCCCGATATTGAGACAGTGAATTTGCCTCGAATTTGTTTAATCGGTGTCGGCTGATCAGTAAAGGCTAACAGTGGCAGTCAACAAGGTGACAATCACGGTAGACAAGTGCTTCACCGGTCGTCTGCCGGTCGACCAGTGACCACAAATTCGCGCCATTCACGCCTGAATCTCTTGAACCTGAAGCATTAACCATATAATATATATTATATATATATATTTGTGGATAAGGATTCAAATCATGCTGTTCTTACTCCTATTTTCAGAGCGCAGATCCCTCCCTGCAAGAGTTTACGAGCGTGTGTCCTTGCAACGGTTGAGATCAGCCGTTGCACATCCAACAACTGGAGATTAAAAAAAAAAAAATCAAAATTCACTCAAAATCCCGCCGTTGCTAGTTATTATATCACTTAGCTATATTTCACTCAGCCTCGCACGAAGCCGTCCTCCTCCACCGAATCGACCCTCCCGCGAGCAGTCCCCTAAGCGGCCACTGCGACGACCAGTCCCCCAGATGGCCCGGCTGAGCGAAGAAATTTGTTCCCCAGGTTTGTATTCGAAACTCTGCACTGTGAATTGGTTCTGATAAATATTAGGGCTTTCACTGTCACAAAAAATTAGGGGCTTCCACTGTGCATATTTTGTTGATAATATCAGTATTGGTTCTGATCTATTGTGTTGACTGAATGTGAAATCCGTAATGTGAATGTGATCATGGGACAATCTTGGGACCTAGAGGGGTTTGCTAGATTTGATATATATAATTCTGAAGATCATCTTGATCTTGATCATATATATAGTTGCATTTGGACTTGATTTTTTTTAATAAAACCCGAAATCCCAAATCCCTTGATCTTGATCATCTCTTGTATACATATATAATACATATTCAGACATAGATATTATCAACCTTCACTGATATATAACATCAGATGATCAGATTTCAGAGAAGATACCCAGATGGGAAAACTCCATGGATTGCACATAAAAAGATGAACAAGAAAAGAGAGAGTGAGAAACTAAGCCTTGATATATACAAATCTTATCTCTATTCCAAGAAACCTAAGAAAGAACTTGATGAGTGATCCAGGAATTTTCAAATAAATAAGGTCCCTCCCTCCCCTCCTGATCAGCCAGAGCGAGCAACCTGTAAAAAAGGATCAAAGAAGAACTATTATATGATCTTAACTAACAAAGGCTGGAGCATGTTCTCTTATTGTAAAAAACATGGTTTGGAGACAAGCATGTTTGGCAGGCTGGCATCAGTCCTAGGCATTTATCTGAGTGGTGGACCAATCTCATGATGGGCTCAAATGCTGAGAATTTTACTAAAGGTTTGAGATGGCTAAGAATACAAAAAATATCACACAATCCCTCCTGAAATGAACAATAGCTGGAAATGAACAAGATTTTTGAGTTAGTTGGCTTTTTCAATTTTAGACAAGCATGTGTGCTGTTTGTTTGGATAAAATTTTGAACCCTTTTTTCTCCAGCTCAAAATAACTCAATATGTGGTGTTGTTGTTTGTTATACTTTGTATGCAGATTTTGAAAAATGCTTCTTTCTAACATTAGCGACATTAGATTACAATCGAGGCTGTGCAATTGTGGAAGAACCGCTGCTCTACGTATTGTAAAAAACCAATGAAAATGGAAATGAAGGGCGCATGTTCTTTGTTTGCCCATCAAGATATGTAAGTTTGTAAATTCTAACTATTTTCTTTGTGGAGTACTCACATTGATATTTGTCTTCTTCGACTAACTTATTCTCATGCATTGCAGAGTAAAACTCCCACTTCCCATTGCAATTTACTTTCAAGTTCGTGATGAAGATGATGAAGCCGTTACGTCCAGAATCCGTTCGAACTGTACACTTTGTGATGATATAACAGTACAAGACTTTGATTGATGTCAGGACGAGGCTTCATTTCCTGGAAACGAACTATGGTCAAAGGCTTGAAAGGATGGAAGGAATATCAAAGCGATGGTGTACTTTCATTGTATTTGCTACCATTTTCTACTTTATCATGTAACTTGGTAGTTTGTACCATCTTCGGTTGTATGTACATGAACTTGTTATGTAATATCTATTATCTATTTCCTGAACTTGTGGCCTCAACTTTGAATGAATTATGGAATGACTTTTGGAATGAATTTTGGAATGTAGTATGACACATTTTCGAATGAATGAATCAATTTTGGAATGAATGAAGAATGAAATATCTATTATCTTGGTGAGATGTAGTATGTCACATTTTGAAAAATGATGAATGAATGAATGATGGATTTTTGAATGAATGAATGCATGGATTTTGAATGAATTGTGAGTATGCTAGCAGCAGATCCACTATATCTGTTATCTGTTTAATGAATTATGTAATGAATGATGAATGAAGCTGTAGCAGACATTGGAGTGATATTGTGATGAATGCTAGCAGTATGCAGACAGCTTTCTCCATGGAGTGATATTGAGTGAGTATGCTAGCAGCAGATCCACCATTATATGTTATCTGTTATCTGTGATATTGCTATCTGTGATTATTGATTAGTGATAGAAAGCTTGTAGCAGATCTAACATTGATATTGTGATGGAATGAAGCATTGCTATCTTGTTCACTGCTATTGATATTTGTGTTGAACTATTAGCAATGATTCAGACACACCATACAGTACATACAGTAGTAGTTTCACACAAATGTTAAACATACTGCAAGGATCTGCACTCCCAGTTCGCACCCTCATGCAGAGGATCTGCACTCCCAGGTACATACAGAAGCATACAAATGTTCAACACAATGGTTGAACTATGTGATATTGTTTTTAACATACATACAGGTACATAAAGCAAGGCATTACAAAAAACACAGTCATTTCTCATTAAACACAAGGCATTACTGAGAAGCCATTTGCAAAAAACAGAGTCATTCTCATTAAACATCAGAATATGAACATCACTTCACTTAAGAGTCATTCTCATAAAAAACAAAATTTGAACACAGAGTCATTCTCACAAAAAACAGAGTCATTCTCATACACAAGGCATTACTTGACAAGCCATTTTGCAAAAAACAGAGCCATTCTCATTAACATCAGAATTTAACATCGCTTCACTTAAGTCATTCTCATTACAAACAGAATTTGAACACAGAGTCATTCTCACAAAAAACAGAGTCATTCTCATACACAAGGCCATTACTTCATCCTTCTTAGCAACATCAGAATTGTGCAGCAATCCAGCATGAGTTAGCTTCACAATTTGAGATGGTATCACTTCACTTTGCATGCCATTTTCATCTTCAGTTTGCTTGTCTTTGTTGCTGTCCATAGCTTGAAATGGACAAACACAGAATTAATTGAAAAAAATAAACTACAAACAAAACTACTTCAATATTAATTTTCAACAACTCAAAATCCAGAATTTTAAGCAACTACAAATTCAAAAGACAACAAGACAAACCTGACTCCACATTGGACTTTTTGATTCTTGAGAATATCAAAA